GTGGGGGAGAGGGAGGGAGGCAAACCATGAGAGACTCTTGAATGCTGAGAACAAACTGAGGGCTGATGGGTGTGGGGGGGAGGGGGGAGATGGGCATGGAGGAGGGCACTTATGGGGATGAGCACTGGGTGTTATATGGAAACCAACTTGACAGTAAACTATTTGTAAGAAAAAAAAATAGTTCCTCAAAATACTATACACTCAGTTATCACGTGGGAATTGGTGTTGCCGTCCACAGCCATTCCACTCCCAGCTGTACACCTAGGAGAACTGAAAATATATGTCCATACAAAACTTGTACACAGATGTTCAAAGCAACATTATTTATTTATTTTTATTTTGGAGGAGAGAGAGAGAGAGCACAAGTGGGGAGATGGGCAGAAGGGGAGAGAGAGAAAATCTTAGGCGTGGAGCCTAACCTGGGGCTCAATCCCATGACCCTGGGATCCTGACCTGAGCTGAACTTTGGAGTTGGATGCTCAACCGACTGAGCCACGCAGGTGCCCCATAACGTATTTATAATAGCCAAAAGGTGAAAACAACCCAAATGCCTGTCAATTGATAACTGGTTAAGTCAAATAAATATATCCATATAATGGAATATTATTTGGCCACAGAAAGGAAAGCTATATGCTCCAATAATGATAAAGCTTGAAAACATTATACTAAGTGAAAGATACCACTCACAAAGGACTGTATGATTCCATTTACGTGAAATGTCCAAAGTGGCAAATCTAAACCTTGACTAAGGTTGGAGGAATGGATGGAAAGATTGCGGGGGAGCGGGGGGTGGGGGTGGGGTATTGGCTAGAGGTGCTAGGTTATTCTCTGGGCTTTAAAAAATATTCTAAGATTGATTGTAGTGATGGTCCTACAACTCTGTGAATATATTGAGGACCTTTAAACTGTATAATTAAATGGGCAAGTTATGTGATAGGTGAATTTTGTTTCAATTTTAAAAATGCATGCATTTGATGTTGGTTTCCAGTCAAGAGGGAGTAACAGAGACCAGGTTTATCTTTCCATTGAAACATCTAAAAATGTGGGACACATATATGAACCAATAGCTCTTAAGAAATTGAACATCAGGCACCAGAAGACCGTGATCCTGGAGAAACAGGGAACAAAGGAGATGAGCCCTCTGATCGCCCCACCTTACTGCACGGAGAGAGTTTCCAGGCAGCCGTGCAAGGACAGGGAACCAAGGTGGGCCAGCAGGCTTCCTGGATTGAGGATACAGAGTTGGGAATCCAGGGAAGTCAAGGTGGTGAGAGTCCATAATGCAGAATACCAGAGAAGACCATGGCACAGAGAGAAAACGTCAGAAATCTACAGTGGGTCTTCCGTGAGAATTCCGTTGAGCTCTGATCAGTGAACGCATATGAGGGAACTATCCAAGGTCTAGGAAAGACTCCTCCACAAAGATTAGGGTGATGGTGCCTGGAAATCACACAGGGCCAGAAAGACTGTTTATTCTCAACAGTCAGAGTGGAAACTTCATAATTTCACAGGGTCTTGTCTAGAGTACTAAAGATCTTGGGACAGTAGTACAGAACAATTAACCACAGAATGAACCCTGCTCAGGATCTCCCTAACAAATCTTAAAGACAAAACTTGAAAGAGTCAAACACAGTATCAGTTAACCATGGCACAACTTTAAGTGGAAACATGTCAATGAAGTCTCCAGAGGAGAAGGGGAGAACCCAAAAAATGCTTGAAGAAATCATGTCCCAAAAGTTCCCAGTTTGATAAAAA